CGGAGCCCCAGCCCCCCAGCCTCCCCTGCCCTCCCCAGGCCATCGCAAGATCGAGTTCATCCCGGGCAGGCTGGGCCCCATCCTGGAGATGACGCTTGTGCCGGAGCTGGAGCTGCGCAAGTCCACCATCCCCATCTTCTTTGACATGATGCTCTGCGAGTACCAGCTGACCAAGAGCTTCAGCCGGGTGAGAGCCCAGGGCTGAGGCTGGGCCATGGTTGGAACCCGCTCCTCACCCGCGCTGGACCGTCCCCTTCAGGGAGGGTGGGGATGATGCTCAGCCTCCCCTCTGTCACCCTGGGATGTGGGGCTGCAGGAGGCAGGGCTGAGGGACAGAGCCGAGGTGGCTGTCAGGGACAGCAGGAGCAGGGAGAGCCGCGGGGTGATGCAGAGATTTCCTGGGGACGAGCAGGGACAGGTCAGGCGTCACCCACACAGCCGGTCCCGGCACTGCCTGGAGACAAGAACACGGTGGGAGGGGGGAGGTCTGCGTCAGCCTCTGCGATTCCACTTGTCTTCCCTCACTGCTGTGAGTTTTCTCCATGCAGAAGGCTTTCCCAGTTTATGATGAGGTGGCATTTGCCTCTTCTGACCTGGAATCCTTTCACCCTGTTGGGGGGGTCCCACAGGAGGAGAGGGGCTGGGACTGCCCTCGGAGCCGTGGGTGACCCGGGTCCTGCGTGAGCCCCTTCTCCAGCCCCTTGCTCACACCGCGTCTGCAGTCACAGCAGGGCTGTGTTGGAGGAGCGGTGTGGGCACAGCTGGGCACAGAGGACTTCGCAGGGGCTATCCCCAAGCCGTCCTCCTGCGGCACAGGAGCTCTGCAGCTCAGGAGCCAACCACGGCAGTGCCCCAGGCCTAGGGGGGCAAGGTCCCCGGAGTTTGGGAAGTGCAGACCCCAGAGGGACCCAGTGTGAAGGCAATGGGTGCCCAGGGGTGCCAGCAATCAGATGTCTGCCACAGACCCCCCATCCCATACCCTGCACGGGCAGGATCCCCCAGGCTTTTGGGTCTACCGGCTGCAGCCGGAGCACAAACCCCACGGACCTGAAGGCTGAGCATCATCTGGGAGACGGGCGACCCCAGGCAGGCACAGCCCTGCTGCTCCAGGCAGGGGAGGCTCTGGCTTCAGGGGGCATAGGGCACTGTCCAGAGACCCCCGGGGGCAGCTGGGCTCAGGCTGCTGGGGGACGGTGGGCAGGCAAGCGCAGGAGCGGGACGGGGACCTGGGAGCAAGTCAGGGAGCTGCCCGTGCTGGGGAGCCGGTCAGGGACCCAGTGAGCAGGACGGGGCTCCCTGTGCTGGGGCAGCGCAGGGACTCGCCCGCACCAGGGAGCAGCGTGGCCTGCGAGCGGGGACAGGGACCCGTCTGTGCTGGGCAGTCCTGGGGAAGGGGCTGCAGCAGCCGAGCCTGGGGACTCTCTGGGGGCCCGAGCTGGCTCCAGCCCCCACAGACCCCCCCCGTCTCAGTGCTGTGGCCCCACGTTCCCGGGGCTGCAGCCGTGGCAGCCTGGGGCCAAGCTCAGCACGTCCTTGGCTCTTTGGCTGCGCTCACGCACGTCTCTGCAGTTTGAGGACGAGATGCTGCGCAAGCTGGACAGCGAGGTGGAAGGTGGCCGGGGCGACGAGCAGTACAAGCAGCTTTTTGAGAGCATGTGAGTCTGCCATGACAGCCCTGCAGCCTGCTCGCCAGGGCATCACATCCCCGTCGCTCACTGCTGCTGCCTGGCCTGCCTGCCCCTCTGCCCCAGGAATTGCCCCTGCT